CAGCACTCAACCCACTTTGCCATCTGCCCTTGCACTAATAGCACCAGCCACGTTTTTGAGCATTGCTTACAGTTTCCTATGGAATACTGAAAGGCAAAATATATCCTCCCTTACCCAAATCATTCGCAGTGTTAGAAACCTCCTTCCCCTTTCTTTCTGGTCTTCACAGTGATTCTTCAGCTGCTAAGTTGAGATAACAGAAAGCATCTCATATGGGGATGCGGGCTGCGCTATCCACACAAATATTTCTCCAGCTCGGTCTGCAACGGTCCTCTCCGTGCTGGTCCTCTGAAGCTTGTGCCTCCACTGGCTCCAACCTTGCCAGTCACTGGGGCACAAATCCTGTCCAGCATCTCTTTTAGGATTTTGTGCTGCTGCACATCACTGCAGTGCTTTCCACATAAGAACAAAGGAATTACAAAGTCCATCATAGTAGGATTATTCCTCTTTATTCCCATAGGAATCATCACAACTGTGTCCTGAAACATTACAGCTCTGCACTGCAAGCTCAGCTCCGCACAAGGAAAGGAGGAAAGACAGCACCTTCCAGCCAGTAACTGATGTGCACCTGAGTACGAAGTGATGGCTCCTTCGAATCGCTCAAACGCCCATGGTGGGCGACAGTCTGCTCACCAGAGCCCACGCCTAGGAGCTGGAAGGCCATGCTGTGCTCCTGGCCCTCCTCCGAGGTCACTGTTGAATGACCCTTCAAGGAGGTAAAAGGGGCATTTTACCCAACTCTCAGTGAGGCATAACCACAGAGGGCCTGATTCTCCTCTACCATGCACTTGCTCTGACTATTTGCACCAGTGCAAAGAGAGGAAGAGGATGGAGAACGTCCTCATATCAGAACGATACCAGCACAGTACGACAAAATTCTTCCTTTTTCTTCACAAGCAATCAATCCATCAACATGTTAAAAAAATAAGTTTAATGTAGGTGGCACGTTTCATACAGGATTTAACAGGCACCCAAACCACCAGCTGGTGTCATGTTCCCAAGAGTTAACAAGGTGAAACTCCAACATTTCAGTCTCGTTCAGACATTCACAGGCTAAACAACAGGCCAAGGCAGCTTTGCCACCGCACGTGCCACCATCCCTGGTCTTAAGCCTGTGCAACGCAGTCTCTGTCCCCAACCACCTGGAAAGCTCTGGAGTGAGCAGGACTCGCTCCTGGGGTAGGGAAGGTCTCCGAAGGGGTTGGCATGGGTCTGGGATAGACACACGCTCCCAAATCAGTATTTCTAGTATTTTTCCTAATTGCTCTTGAGGCCATTTTTAACCCAGTAAGTATAATGGCAATATTTAAAGCCCAAACATGGAACGAAAGAAAAAAAAATAAAAGGAACAAACCTGCTGTTCAGGATGGAATCAGCTTGAAGGAATGCTGAAATGAAAATTTCAAAAGGTTTTAGAGTTACAGTCATCTATACAGTAGGAAGGGAAGAGTTAATGCATTTTGGAGCCTGACCCATGCCTCCCAGCATCGATAAATTTGGAAGAGAGTAAAAAAATCCAAAAGGATATGAACTTGCCCAAGGGGACACAGTTTGCAAGTAGCTGCTTAGCACGACGTATTTCTGGCAGATATAAGCCACTTGTTTGGCTCTTGAAAAAGCAAAAGTTCAGCTTCCTCCATTTCCTTATTTGTTGTATCCTATGAAGTTTGGTTTTCCCTTCGTTTATTAAAAATGTCAGTTTTTTCAATTAAACTAAATGAGGAAGAACAACCCCAACATCTTACTCTTTGCATATATTTAATATAACATTAATTCTGCCTCTTTCTCCCTCCTTCGCCTTGAGCTTGTAAGAAACTTTGAGAATATCAGCTGCTTGAGAAAAAATTATTTTGGCAAAGTAATCCTTCAAGTTTTAAAGAAAAAATTCTCAAATTTAAAAGCATTGAATTTTAATTCTGAACCATTACAAAGATCTTACTTATTCTGCAATCTCCCGGCGATGTTATGAGGTTTAATTAGCTCCAGTTGGAAAATGCTTTGAAGAGGGAAAGTGCCATAAAGGTGCCAAATACTGCTCCGCTCATGAAGATCTAAAACCTTCAAATTATTACATCATAAAACAAATCATTTGAAGATTAATTCCTCTTCCCTGCCAGCATGACTTCAAAGGGACCTCACTTCCCCCCCTACACCGGTAGGATCACACCACCTGAGCACTGCAAGGTGTCCCAGTGCTGGTGGTGACCAAGAACAGGAGTATTTTGAACTTCATCGTCCCTCTGAGCCCTCCTTCTCAATTATTTCATCTCGGGGTTGCCTGGCTTGGTGTGCAACTGCAGACTTGAGATTCAGGGCGTTCTCACAGTAGGTATTTGACTACCTTCGTAAAAGAAGAATGGGGAATCACATCCCACTGTCTTCTAACCAACCTAGCCCCAAGGACTCTCTCGAGGAACATGTGGGCACTTGGCAAACATTCCTTCTCTGTGATTTGATAAGGCCATGTGCTTTCTCCTCGGTGCACGCTATTGCGCCCGGACGCGGAGGGCTGACGGGAAGCCACGACCTGCCCCGCAGAAGCCCTTGTTTGTTCAACGGCTGCTGCAGGAGCGCCGCGGAGCAGAGCTGGACCGCGTGAAGAACCACCGCCAGAGGTAGCAGCAAAAGTGGTTTTATTGAAGTGAGATGTTGTAAAAGTGAGGCTTGACGAACCCGATGGCAAGGTTCAATCTACTGCTTACTGCAGAGAGCATATGATAACGGTTCAAAGTTACCAGTCCAAGATCTTAACGCCCCGTGATACAAGGTTATGTGCAGTATCAGTCACTCATCAAAGATCTGCAGCTAGTAAGGGGTCTCTCAACCTCCAGGAGTGACCTTGAGAGGTGTCCCAACTCAAGGGGAGATCACCACCAACGCAGCCAGCTGCTTGGCGGAGAAAGCTCACTAAAAGCTCACTCACGCTGTCATATTTTCATATTTATGGAATAAAGTGGTTGGCTTGTAGTCAAATTATGCGTGATGGAAAAAGTAAGTATGAGACTCCTCTTACCCACAACCTCCTTTGTTCCTTGACCAAATTAGTCTTGGAAGAACCACCTGCTATTCATGTGTTAATCGCATGATCGGCGTTCCGGTTTCCAAGCTCATGTACATCAAAGCTCACCGTGTCGCCCTGTTCCTGTGTGGGTTTTCAAACAACAGGTTGGAACTAGAGAAGTTCATGACCCGGTCACAGCCTAGACCTTCACTTCCTTCGGAGCCTGAACCAAACTACCACAGGTTGGGTCAAGCAGTTGAGCGTACCCATCACAAAGAACACCCACCAGCTGAACCAGGCACGGGTGGGGAGGGCAGCAGCACCCACAAATACCACTAAATCACCCTTTTACACTGAAATACAGCCACTCCGAGATGAAACAAGGTCCTACCATCCAACCTCCAGCCAGCCTCCACACCGTGGTCCTGTGAAGGGCGAGGAAGAGGGGTGCCAGCCAGTCTCTCTGCTCACACCAGGACTGTCTGCTGGCCATCCCTAACATGTTTCCTGCAGAAATTCTTGAGCACAGCCATCCCTGGAGTCCCACATTCTGCATGCCAGAGCTGTGATGCCCCAGGCTGACAGCTGTACCAGGGAGGAAAGCACTGGGCTGGGAATTACTGGGAATTCCCTCTGGCCACGGAGCAAGCTGTAGCTCAGACCTGCAGGACGCTGAGGACCTGCAGTCCAGAGAGCGATCCCAGAACAAAGCTCTGGGGAGCTCTGCAGTTAGGAGGAAACTTCCAGACACTGGTTTGTGACATATGCTGACACCACCTCTTTCCTGCAGAAGCAGCCTGTGGCTCTCGTGGGGCTCATCTAAAGTTCACACCACCACGGCCCATTATTTATTCAGCTCTGCGTGTTCAGTCTGCATTATCTGTAACACTTGATAATGAGATAATTTCTGGGTTTGCTTTAGCTTTGGGCTTCAGACAGAAGCTTCTCTATTTTGTATCCATAAGCCTACAAATCAATGGCAGCAGAAGCCTGCAGTACTCACAAGGTGAAACACGAAGTATCCTTCCCTGTGTGCAGACTGGCTTTGTTCTCAACCACATTCGTATCCCAGACCAAAGAGATCATAAAAGAACAGTCATGTTTTTCCAGTCTTGCTTATCCCATTATGATTGACTCCAGGGATTTCATGGGAGGAAAAAAAAAGGGTCTCCATCATTTTTACCAACTTGCTTTTAAACAGTTCTTTAAAGAAAAGAAGTAAAAGAGCAATATTCCATTATAAGGAAAAACAAAGCCAGAATAAAAATAAACTTTAAGCCAGCTTCTGGGCTCAATAAATAATAAGTTACTTGATTGACTGCAGAGGAACAGCCTGAGATCTTACATCAAGACCAGTAAAACTGAGCTCAATGCTTAACTCTCTTCTTGAGCTGTTAGTAAAGCTCTCCAGGGACCCCACTCTCGCTGCTGCAGAGGCAGGAGAATGTTTTCTGTAATCGCAGAGAACAATTATTGTCATTTCAGACTGTACCCTGCTTCCAATCTCTCCTAGGTAAGACAGTCTCATCTCACTGTACCCCGTACGACAGACGTACCTCTGTGAGAAAACAGGAACCAATCCATTCAGCCAAGACCTAAACATAAAGGACCATTGCAATAGGTTCCCCTAAACCAGTGCAAAACGATAACATATTTGCTGTGACTGGGAGTTTCGAGAGCACGTGATATCGAACTCTGCTCCCGTGGATTTGCTCTATCAGGGTAAGACTCAATTACTCAGCACTAACTGCCTGAAAAGGACAAAAAGGGAAAAAAAAAAAATCTCAAACCTCTACACTCTATTGAATTTGGCCCCATATTCTTAGCAGGGAATACGCAAAATGCAAACCACAGAGAAAGGATCACGCTGGTCAAATAGGATCCATATTACATGCCTGAGACATTACGGAGCATTTTTAGAAAAACGGTGAAGATGGATTAAGAGTGTGGGGTGCAGAGTTATCTGGCTTCTCTCCTCCAGATAAATCATTGCCTTTTTCATGCCCACAGCAATCCAGGAACAGCAGCAAGGTAGGCTCCTATGGACTAAACGAAATTTATATTAACTCGCACTGTGCAAAGAACAAAATACTCAAGTGTTGCACTTTGATAACCAAAATGGCACCTCAACCCTCAAAAAAAATACAAATTCCAGAGACAAGTACGTTAATTTATCAATAAAAAGTAGCACTGATAAATAAATTAATTTATATAAAAAAGAAAAGAAGATATTGACACATTTTAGGGTAGAAGAAAAGTCACCTTCTCAGCCCACATGCGCTTGTTTTATTTACATATCCACAAATACCATGAAACACCATCCCAGCCCCCCCACTAGCAGCATGGTCACATGAATTCCATAGATGAGCAGTTCATTCATGAGGCTGAAGTCGACTCGCCTTCGCCCCAGTAAGAGGAGGATGATGGAGAGTTTGTACTGGAAACGCAGAAAGATGCGGATGCCGAGGTACTGAAGGCAAAACAAGATCGAGAGTGCCACCCAGAGGATGGAGGGAAATAGGCT